GGGTGCGCGTTAACACCGTTGGGTGGTGATCGTGCGGGTCTGATTGACAACAAGTTATTTCGCTTACCGTGGTGTCACGTGAGCGTCTGGGCATGTGAAGGAGCGGCGGTGGATTTTAAAAAACCTTTATTTAAGGACACCGGCTCTTTTTATGAGTGGAGGATGTGTGTGTAGCGGCTGTGAGCTCATCCGAGCTTACAGACTGGCTAAAAACAGGCATTTTGATCTTTGAAAATCATTTATTCAATTCCTGTGTCATTTATACACACATCCTCCGCAGACCGTCATTTCTTAAAACTTCTTCCCCGTGAGCCCTGCGGTTTGTTTGCTCCGAGCGCCGTCTGCAGGCGATCTCTGGGGAAAACACTGAAGTGCAGGCTGCCGGACTGAGGAGGGGTGGTCTCTGGCGGGCGGGGCTGGTGGTGGAGCTGGGCTAGACGAAGCTGCTGCTGCCGTGGAGCGTCGATGTTTCTGCCTCTGCTCTCGACGATCCCTCCAGCGGGCTGGGGGACGGGATGAGCCGCGCGGCTTGATGAGATGGCGTACAGCTTCCGACGTCTCCTCCGACTGCTTCGAATTCGCCAGCATGGACGTCAAGCTGCTTCCGAACAGCGCGTCCGATGAGATGGGGCCCTCCATCAGGTCTTTGTGCAGCTTTTCCGGCAGCAATGGAGAGTGACGGAGCCAGATGGAACGTTGGATTACCGTCATCCACGCTGCAAATCCTCGACAGGCAACCCGTGGAAGCGGCGCACATGTTGAGGATGGCGTCTGCCGATTACACAGGGAGCTCTTTGTCTCCTCCGGCAGGTCTGAGGCCTCCAGCCTTTTCGACATGCTAACTGCTAGCAGCGCACGTTGTTGCTAACTGCTGCTGCCTGAAAAACACGTCGGTGGGCTCGATTGGAGAGCTTTAGTCGCCGTCTGGTTCCTCCGGAGGGACGGGACGCTGCTCCGACCTGGGCAGCTTCGCTCCGGAAGCTTCCGCGAGGCTTGGCTCCAGGGGGGGGGGACCGAGGAATAGCGTCAGTTGCCTTACAGAGGGAGTTCTTGTCTCCAAGGCAGGTCTGCGGCCTTCAGTCCCTTGGACATGCTATATGCTAGCAGCGCACGTTGTTGCTAACTGCGGCTGCCTGGAAACACGTCGGTGAAAAACAACCTTTCCGCCGATCATCCGAACTGGCGGGAAAAGGCGAGGGACGTAGAAAAAAGGGGTCCCTTCATGTCAGCCTCCTCCCGGGTTCCGCCGGGCAACCCCTGAGGGCGCTGTCGGCCGGGAGCGGTGTGATCGCCGATGCGAAACGAGGTGGGATGGGGTGAGCATTCACTCAGCCCCCCTCCACCTACACTACGCTCCCCAGGAGGGAATGAGCAGCGGGGGCTGCAGCTGAGCACACCTTGCCCCGGGGGGACCATCCGGTTCGCCCCGAGGGTCGGCGATAAGAGGAAAAAACACAAGATGGCGTTGTCCAGCGTGTAGTGACCTGTCACTGGGAAATGTTCCCCGACGCTTACCTTGGAATAAGACTGCTGTCATCTTCTCCTCGGGGAGGAGAACTCACCGGACGACCGGAGGTCGACTGCCGGGCCAAGCATCCTTCACAAAGGTTGGTCATTTACACAATTTATCTTCTTTGTTCTTCTGACAGTGCTATATTAGCTCGCTGAAGAAAAAATGGGAGCCGATTTCCCGCTCTTAACGTAATTTATACGGACCGGGTGGGGCCCACACAGCAGGTGGGCGTGGACTAATTTTTTCAGTGCTTATGCTCTGCATAACGGGATAAACCCATCAGTGACAGCCTTAAAGGGCGAAGCCTATATGACATAGAACTCACGTTTTCAGCTTAAAGTGTGAACTGGCTGATTTTTACGATTGCTCGCACACCTTCTCCTCAGATGTCCTCACCGACCTCTGAAGCAGTCACAGTGTTCCTGGCTAGTCCTCTCCTCGTGGTGTATCCTGGTCTGAGCCACCCCAGAAAGATGATTGAACTGGTGCCCTCAAACTGACCCAGTAAGGAGCAGAAACCTGAAACTTTTGGTCTGGTTCTGCCATTTATAGCTGATTCAACTTGATAAATCATTTCCTGACATGCAGTGATAATAAATGACTTCATCTGGTTACATTAAATAACTTCTCTCAACCAAAATCCAAATTAAACTATTTATTAAAATATTTAAACTTTGTCTAAATTTGTGCGTGTATAAAAAAACCAAAATAATTTCTGCTCAAAGAAAGGGGTTGTAATCTCAGTCATCCAGGTAGATAACAAGAACAAACATCTGGCCTAAAACGTTTGATTGTTCATGATGATTAATTGTTTTGCACATGTTCAAGTTATTTCTGAGATTCCAACAGGAGGTTGTCTTGAAACGCAGCAGTGAAGACTACCTATGGGACAGATCTGGTTGGCAGGCCGTAGACTGAGGAAGTCCTCTGGATGGGGGATGAAAAGTTTCTCACCTAAAGAAACTGGTCCAGATGACACGATTTAACCTTTTTTGTTTTACTCCAAGTTAATTTTGCCTTAGATAAAAGAGAATTAATCCTTCACTGATTAATTATCCCTTAGATCAGGGCTATTCAACTGGCGGCCCAAGGGCCAAATCAGGCCCACAGGTGAGCTCAGTTCGGCCCACGAATGGACTCATTTTTAAATAAAACTCGATTTTAAACCGTAAAACAAACAATGACAGTAACTGCTGGATGTCTCCCCCCCCCCCCCCCCCCCGCAATTTAGTTGAATAGTCTTGGTTTAGATTGTTCAGTGTAGTTTTGCTACTGGGTCTGCAGTAGCTTGGTGGTCAGTGCTGTGCTCTTGTAATCCTGAGGTTGCAGGTTCAAGCCCAGGTTGTGTCAGGAAGGGCATCCAGCATAAAACAATTGTTAAATGTTTCATGCAAGTTCACACACGCAAACGTGTTGTTTTACTTTTCAAACAAATTATTATTCTTTATCATTTGTTGTTCAGTTTATTATTGTTGATGATTCTTGTCTTGATTAATAGTTTTTGTAGTAAAACTTCAAAGACTAGTTTGGTCTCCTCATTTGGGTGAATATTCATTTGTTCTGGTGTAGAACTCCCCGTAGTTAACAGATTCTACCTCACACCAAAGAGTTCAGTCTTTGTCTCATCAGACCAGAGACTTCTGTTTCTCCTGGTCTGAGAGTCCTTCAGGTCCTTTTGTCAAACTCCAGAGCAGCTGCCATGTGCCTTTTATTGAGGAGAGGCTTTCGTCTGGACACTCTGCCATACAGGCCTGATTGGTGGGTTACTGGTTGTCCTTCTGGAAGGTTCTCCTCTTTCCACACAGGGTTCTGGACACCTCCCTGACTAAGGCCCTTCTCCCCCAATTGCTCAGTTTAGATGGTTGGCGCTAGGAAGAGTCCTGGTGGTTCCAGACTTCTTCCATTTATGAATGATGGAGACCACTGGGCTCACTGGGACCTTCAAAGCTGCAGAAATGTTTCTGTCTCCTTCCCCAGATTTGTGCCTCAACACGATCTTGTCTCGGAGGTCCAAAGACACAAAACCTTTGAGTTCATGCTTGTTGTTTGTGTTCGGACATGCACGGTCAGCTGTGGGACCTTCTATAGACAGGTGTGTGTTTCCAGATCCAGTCCAGTCAACTGAATTTACTGCAGGCGGACTCCATTTAAGTTGTAGAACCATCTCCAGGAGGAGCAGAGGAAACAGCATCTGAGCTCAGTTTGAGCTTCATGGCTGTGAATACTTGCGTAAATGTGATTTCTTAGTTTTCTATTTTTAATAAATAACAAAAACAAAAAACATTTTTTCACATTGTCATGGGGTGTTGTGAGTAGAATTTTAAGGAATGAGATTAATTCAATTTGGAATAAGGTTGTAACATAAAATATGGAAACAGTGAAGCGCTGTGAGTACTTTCTGGATGTACTGTATACTACAACCCCTTCAGATGCTTACTTGTACTGACCTTCAGAAATCTGTAGGATTGGCTTCAACACCGTGTCTCCTGTTCGTTCCACCATGGCTGCTCAGAGGTTGCCGGCACCGGAGTTTGAACCCTGAACTCCTAGAGCCTCTTGATTCTGTGCTCTCTTAATGTTGCAATACGTTTTTATATATTGTGTATCCTACTTATTTTAAATAAAAGCAAACAGTTATTTTGTTGTGAGTGAATGATGTACATTTCCAGTGGCACAGTTGATTGAGCTGCCGCCTCTTTGCAAGAAGGTTGCCGCACCAAATCCTGGTCCGGGGGCCTTTCTGTGTGGAGTTTACATGTTCTCTCCGTGCATGCGTGAGTATTCTCCGGGTACTCCAGTTTCCTCCCACAGACTAAAAACATGCATGTTTCACTGATTGGTAACTCTAAATTGTCCCTAGGTGTGAGTGAGAGAGTGAATGATTGTCTCGTTTGTCTCTATGTGTTCCTGTGATGGACTGGAGACCTGTCCAGGGTGTCCCCCACCTCTCACACAGTGTCTGCTGGCTATGGGCACCAGTGACCCCCACGACCTGAAAAGGAAGAAGCGGGTAAAGATAATGGATGGTTTGATTAAATTTCTTTCCAAATTGTCTGAAATTCTGTCAAACCTGGAATCTCTTGAGAGTTGGAGTAAATTTATTATTATTATTATTTTTTTTTTTAAATGAAGCTCAAACGTCTCAGCAGCTCTGAATCTGACCTTGACTTTTGACCCTTAAATGTAGGCTGAAAGGTGGAAGCGTCTCAGGTCTTGGATTAGTTCTTGTTTCTGAAAGTCTTGTTGCTGATACAACAGAGAGGTTTTAGACCAGACTCTGCTTTTTGTTTGATTTCTTCAGGTTTTTATAAACTGATGTTTTGAGCACATGCTGTGATTTGTTTTCACCTCTGCTAGATCCACCTGTTGGAGCTGAGCCTCTAATCTGTCAAACTCCAGTATCTTTTGGATTTAGCGCCCGTCTGTTAGGCAAATATTTAAATCGAAGCGGTGAGGTGTTCATCCGTGTACTGTTTGTGTGTCTCAGGTATCCGTTACAGCATGGACGTGTGTGTTGATGAGGTCAAAGCTCTTGCCTCGCTAATGACGTACAAATGTGCCGTTGTTGGTGAGTCAACACACACACACAGCACTTCCTGTTCCCTGGAGGTCCACTCTAACCAGAACCATCAACTCCTGCTGTTTGTTGCAGATGTACCGTTTGGTGGTGCCAAAGCTGGCGTGAAGATCAACCCTAAGAACTACACGGTAAGATGTTCTGACCCAAACAGAAAGACTGAGACCATCAGAACCACAGAGGTTAAAGACCGACTCTGATTGGTTGGTTGTTTTCATTCAAAACCAGACGATAAAATGACTAGGACTGTCACAATAACAAATTTTGCTGGGCGATTAATTGTCTCAGAAATTATTGCAACAAATGATAATATTGTTTGAAATTTGACAATAATTAGTAATTATTGTCAAATTTACGAAGAAATGTTGGTACAGTAGTCCCTCGCTACTTGGCAGTTCGTTCGTCACGGATTTGCTCTATTTCGATTTTCAATATAAGAGTGGACATGACACACAACTGGCTGATTGATGGACGAGCCGTACGATCGGCATGAAATTTTTATTTAAAATAAATTATTTTAAATTATTTAGCACCTGCTGCTCCTTTTTGCAGCCCAGAGCTGCAGAAAAAGCTTCCTCCTCCACCTCTGTGCAGCCCTTACTGCAGGATAAACTTCCTCCTGCAGCTGAACAGCTGAGATCAGCTGATCTGCGTGCAGAGCGGAGAAGTGAGCATGGCCAAGAGCGCTTGCAGGTGGGGAAGAGAGGGAAATTATGACATTCTGTGCTGTTTCAGAGTGTTTAGATTTTAGAAATATTAGAATATTGCAACAATGTGGGAAGGGTTTAAAACGCCTTTATTTATATATATGTATATATATATATATATATACGTATATATATATATATATGTATATATATATATACGTATATATATATATATATGTATATGTATATATACATATATATATATATATATATATATATGTGTAGCGCCCCCTAGCGTCCTTAGCGTTATGGGGGTGGCTAACCC